CTACTACCAGAAATAAATCCTCCAGCATCCAGGATCATGTTGGTGGCTCCCATTACCTCGACTCTCTTCTTCCAATATCTGGATTTTTAAAAATTCTTTTCAAATTTCCTTTGACTGTCATTTTAATGAAGTATTGATAGGAAGATGTACATAGCCTGCCTTGTTTAATTGAAAGCTACAGTTTCTATTTTTTATTTTTATTTATTTTTTGGTACTGGGGAGCGAACTTGGGACCTTGCGCTTGCAAGGCAGGCGGCAGATCCACTGAGCTAAATCCCTGGCCCCTTCTAGTTCTTATTTTTATATATTTTTATTAGCTCATGTTTGCAGTACACCATGATTATATTCCTCATGGGGAGTTGGTGCATGTACATAACACAGCTTGAATCTTCTTACGTCCCCTTTTCCTTCCCTCCATCTCTTGGTTCTCTTCCCTTTTGCAAATGATCTGTCTCCCTGCTTTCTATTATCTCTCTTTTATTTCACTTTGTGTTCCTTGTGTAAGAGAAGCCATGTGATACTTAAGCTTGTGTGTCTGATTTATTTCACTTAACATTGTGGTCTCAAGGTGCATCCATTTTCCTAAATGTGACTGAAACCTCCACTTTTTAATTTTAGTAGTGAACAGATTTGCACATCTTAGTTAGCAAAACTGAAGACAGATGATCATATTGACAGTCAGGGTCCATGCATCCATCATGTCCAGTTATTTTATAGAAAAATAAAATTTATAACTCAGGTTCCCACCCAGCACCCGAGCTGTTTGTCACACCCAGGGATTATCAAAATGGGTATCTGCCATGAACTTCCTGCTTTTCACATAATCTGACAGAAAAGGAGCATCGCTACAGCAGATGAGACGCTAGCTGTTTGGCTGGGTGAAGTGTGGGATTTTGCAACCACGGCCGCAAATCTGGGTCAGCACTATTTACAGACAGCACGTGGTGTTTTGTTTCAATGAGCAGGAAAATAGTTTGCGATTAAATGTGGTAAAAACTTGTCGTTTTTTTCCAGCTAAGCAGGAAAAGAAATTACTCAATGTGAAATGATAAATAAGTCCAGTGAGTCATCGTCAATGCAGGAAAAAAGTGCAGCTGGGACAGAAACTGTGTTTTCCTGCGTGGTAAAAATAAAATCAAACACACTGAAATGGAAATCAGTAAAAGTGTATGCTAGGACCATGGACAACTGTGGGACTCCTGGGAGTTTCATGTGATTTGGGCTTTTTAAAGAAATTCACTGAAGCGGTGGCGAAAACAGTGTAAAGGCTATGTTAATTCTTTTAAAGTCAGGCTCATTAAAGCATAGCCTGCATGCAGTGAAATCCACTCTCTCTAGGATGCATTCTGTGAATTTTAACAGACATATTTGATCATGTCGCTGATCCCTCACACTCTCCCCAACCCAGCCCGGAGCAACCACTCACATAAATGAAATCATCCAGGACTCAGTGTTTTGATTCTGGCTCATATATTCACCTGTAGGGTTGGTGTGAACATAACTCTTCCTACCTTGGGCTCATTGCCCCAGAGAGCCCTTGCTGGGGGACTCAGAAGGTGCTTTTGCTGTCCATAAAAAACCTAGAAAAAACTGCCATAGAGAGGCTGAATAAGCTCAGGCTCCTACAGCTACCTGTGAGTGATTTGGATTTGAATTTCCAGTATTAAACTGCTAGAATTCTCCGAATGACCGAGATTAAACTGTATGCATCATTAAATGTGGTCTATTCTAGAAGTGCTCTAGTTAACAACACCCATTACACAGACTAATGGGGAAGACCTTACTCTTTTCCCCAGAAACTTTAACACCAGACAACACTGGAGTAATGATGCTTACAAAGTTCTGGGAGAGAAGAGGAATCCGTGGATGTGCAGCCAATGTTTTAGGCACACGTTCTCACAGACAAGTGCACTCTGGAACTGGTGTCAGCCCTCAGGAGGCTGGAGGGAAAACAGCAAAGCAAAGACAGAAAAAAATTCTAAGAAACCCAGCTATCCATAAACAAATCAAAGTGAAGAGTGAACGTTGGGAGTGGTGGCATTTGCCTGTAATTCCAGCACTCTGGGAGGCTGAGGCAGAAGGCTCCTGTTATGGTTTGTACCTAGATATCCCTCCAAAACCTCGTGCATTCATAGGTGGGGCTTTGGGGTGGTAGCTGGATCATGGATATGTGTTACTGGGATTAAGGGTGTGGGATAACTAAATTATTCTACTGATTGGTTTAGCATAGTTCTGGGTGTGGCTAATGGGAAGGCACACCCTGAGCGTGGGAGGCATCACCCAAAAGGCTTATTATAGCCTGGATGGGATAAAAGGGAAAGGAAGGCTCACTGCTGCTGTTGCTGTTGCTGCTGCTTTGCTGCCTACTGTCTGTCCTGCCATGGACTGTTTCTCTCTGCAATGCCCTTCTGCTATACCACCCTCCTTTGGAGCTAGCGGACCATGGACTGAAACCTCTACAAATTGTGAGCCCAAATAAACCTTTCCTCCTTTAAGTGCCTTTTCCTCCTTTGAGTGCCAGGTATTATGTTTCAGCAATGAGAAAAGTAACTGAGACAGATTCCAAATTTGAGCCCAGCCTAGACAATTTAGCCAGATCCTGTTTCAAAATAAAAAATGTAGAAGCATAAAAGCCCTGGGTTCAATCCCCAGTAACACACACACACACACACACACACACACACACACACATAAATGGAATGGGAGAACACTGTGTTACATCTACATCTATAGACTTAAAACCAAACAACTGGGGTGAATAACTGTAATGCTTATGTATATTTAAATCTTGAAAAGTAACAGCAGCACAGCAACATAGCTCATCCCCAGAGCAGGGCAGATGGGGGCAAAAAATCTGTATCAGTTTCTTGTCCATTACTGAGTCAATAGTGCCCTAAATTGTTTATATTAAAAAATATGATATCAACCTTAAAATGAAAATCATTAAGAGGTTGAAATAATCTTTTATATATATATTATAATATCTTAAACTGCAGAAGAAAGTTAGGTACCTTTATTTCTGTGTACTGGGCGATCTCTTAAGTTTTAATTCACTTATTTTTTCTTCTGTTAAACTCAAGAAAAATTAAAGGAATACTTCTTATTTAATGTTATCATATATAATCTGAGCCTCTTTTAAGTAAAAGTCTCTCACTTTCCTTAACTACATAGAGAGGTTGGGCCGGGTGTAGCTCTGTGGCACAGTGCTTAGCTAGCATATGCAAGTCTGGGTTCCATTCTCAGCACCCCAAAAACAAACAAATAAAAACTACTTAGAGGGAAGTTTGAAGCTTTGCCAGGATTAAACATGGCTTATTCCTGGGTGGTAGAATTTTGAGTGCTCTGTTACTTTCTCTGTCCATTTCCACAAATCTACAATTTCTCTTTTTCTTCTCCCTCTCCCTCCTTTCTTCTCTCTCTCTCTCTCTCTCTCTCTCTCTCTCTCTCTCTCTCTCTCTCTCCCCCTCCCCCCCCTTCCTTGTTCCTGGTACTGGGATTAAACCTAAGGGTCCTCTATCACTGATGAGACTTGATCTTGCTAAATTGTCAGGGCTGACCTTGAACTTGCAATCCTGCCTCAGCCTCCCAAATAACTGGGATCATAAGCCTCTGCCACATAACCTGTCTGCAAATTCTTAATGATGTTCTCATATCCCTTTCATTAAAACAGCACACATTTTTCAAAGTGTAAGTAGCCCTCAGACACATTTGTAAACATCCCCTAAACTTGAGTGTGAACATGTAGGCTCCCTGTGTGTGGGGTAAGCTGCTAGGATGTTGCCACTGTGGAGCTGAGTTTGGGGGTCCCTAGTTGGCAATTTGCCTGTCCTGCACCCTGCATCCCAATCCCAGGCTCTTGACCATGCCTCAGACTCCATTGACCTGACTTCCTCCCTGCACTCTGAGAACCCCAAGGAGGCAGCACCATGGCTATACCCTTCGAAGACCCAGCAGCAAGCAGAAGGTGGGAGAGGATGTGAGCGCTTGTCCGAAGGACTGAGGACAGCACCACTCTCTTCTTATTTGTACGCACTCCTTCTGCCCTCCAGCTGGGTCTGACCTGTGCCCTCTGAGATGCTAATCTTAGGGGTGTGCGGCAGGGGGAGTTGAGGAGGGAGACCCAGCGTGTCTCTAGGACATCTTCTGTGCTGTCCTCCTCCTCCTCATTCGTCATTTGCCACATCTTGCCCCTGTGGCTACTGGACAGGGCTATGACTCGGAATGATGATTGTGGATCACAGTTTCTATCCGTGGTTGCAAACCGGTGGCCCAAAGCACCCTGTATCTGCTTGCCCAGGCTGTGCTTAAATTTGGGATCCTCTGCCTCAGAGCGCTGGGATTACAGGCTTGTGCCACAATGCCAGGCTCCAAAATCTTAACTTTTAATAACTTTAACTTTTTTTTTTGAGACAGGGTCTCACTATGTTGTTCAGGGTGGCCTTGAACTTGAGGCAATCATCCTTCTCAGCCTCCCAAGTGCTGGGATTACAGGTGTGTGCCACCACACCTGGCAATATTAACTATTTTCAATTTCAATTTAAAAGATGATGTTCCCTTCAGTTATTTGGAAACAGCATAGCTGGGACCACTCAGATGTGAACATGTGCTTTGTAACCAGACATGTTATGAAATCGAAATCCGGAACAAGAATGTCCCATGACAATTTCTTTCAGATTAAAACATGACACAAATATAAAATACAACAGGTTTCAAAGACTTAGTACTGAAAAAAAGATGAAATATTCCATCAATATTTCTTGTGTTGATGGTATATTGAAATGTTAATATTTTGGTTATGCCCAAAGTATTAAATTAAATATTAAAATATATTGTTAAAATCAACTTTAGCTTTATTCTCGTGCTTTTAAGTGTGGTCCTGGGGACTTTGAGCTGGAACCCTACAGGAGTGGCCGGCAATTCCAGACTCTTGCCGCCAGAGGGAGCTGCGTGGTTCGTTGTCGTTGCTGCTCAATTTGTTGCTCGGAAGTAGTTTCAGGTCCCGCCCCTTAGAGGCCGTGCGCGAGGTGACTTCCGGCGGGGCGGACGCAGGATCGCGGCGAGCCGGCTTCGGGGTCGGGGGGGCTGCAGGATGACCACGCTGCGGGCTTTCACCTGCGACGACCTCTTCCGCTTCAACAACATGTGAGTGTGGCGCGCCCTAGCCAGCCAAGCCCCTCCCTTGCCGGCCGGAGCCCCGTGCTGAACCGAGGCCGGTGGGGAGCGGGCGCCTGTTCCCCACTCCCGTGTCGGGTCCCGCTTCGAGCAACGCTGTGCACAGAGCCCTGGTTTAGGCGAGTTCGGTGACTTGCAGACACATTTTAACAAAAGAAATTCTTACGGAAATGTGTAAGTATTGAAGAAGTTGAGAGAATTTCATCGCGAGCTCCTGTGGACACCACCTGGATTGAGCAGGTGTCGTTTTGCCAGGGTGGCTTTGTCGCACCTCTGTCCGTCAATAGAGCCTGGGCCCACAGTGTACAAAGGACCAGGCGGTTCCGATTCACAGTCGGGAGAGTGGACAGAGCTTTGGGCTGAGAACTGGGACAGCGTCGCAGAGGGGGCGACCCGCGGTGGAAACCGAGCGGGAAAGAGGACGTAGGTCTTGGGACCTGTGATCGGACACTGGGGACTCGCGCACGTGAAGTGGTTTCTGTAGCTGAGCAGCCAGAAAAACAGATGAAGCCGGGTTTTGGCTCTGTGCTGAGGGGTTGGGATCTGTGGGGAGCAGTTTCTGTTGGGCCTGACTTTTGTTTCGCTACGCGCCACCTGCACCTGCCCCGAGTGCCCCTGAGTCCATTTGATCCTCACAGTTCTATGAGGTGCTGGCCTCCCTCTTCCTTATGATGAAGTAGGTAGTGCATGCCCAGGTGAATTACTGCAAATGATGGAGCCTGGGTGAGGACTCTTACCCAAAGAAATTGGTAGACTGCTGGGTCTTAAAAAGTTGGTCCCTGACCACAGAGAATATTTTGGAATTGCAGATTCTCAGCTGTTTGGGAGCCACTGCTCTGAAGCTGTAAGACCCTTTGGTGTCCTTGGGGGATTGGTCCTAGGACCCACCATGTATACATAAATCCAGTGGTGCACAAGTCCCTTCTTTATAATGGCATGTTATTTGCATTTAACCTACACACCTCCTGTTACTTTCTGTCACCTCTTGGTTACTTAGAATGCCAGTTACTGTGTTGTTTGGGGAATGATGACAAGGAAAGACAGTTTGTACGTGTAAAGGTAGAGGGGCAGAATGCACAGGTACAGAGGGCCAACAAATTCCTAACCAGCCAGCCTTGTAGAGTGTGAGGTGATTTGAGGAGTAAACCACACTTTCTTGCTCCTTTTCTTGGGTCATTTTGTAGCAAACAGTGAGAATCCATTGGGTTAGGAATTGAAAGCAGCAATGGGTGTAGAGCATTGCAATGAATTTAATATCTGTTTTATTCTTGGAGAAATGTTTGAGTGCCTGTTGTGTGCCAGTGCTTGAGATAAAGCAGTTGTCAGAAAGAAATCGTTGTCTTGGGAATTTACATTTTAGAGAGGAAACAAGTAGAACTGGTAAATGCAACATGTAGACCTTAGTGCTTAGGTAAGGAGAAGGGAGTGGGTAGGGATTTAGCTGTAGGTCTGGTGTTCAGGGCAGGTGTCCCTGAAGAGAGGAGGGGAGGGGAGGGAGGAAGTGTATGGATACCCGCTGGACTAAAGGGAGTACGGGAGCAAGAGGCACCAGGCCTCACCCTGTGGTGGCCAAGCTAGGATTTGGGCTTCTTGCATTACATATCTAGGCCGGGGTCTCAGGTTAGGTGTGTACTAAAGGGGAATCTGAGGATCAACACTGTAGAGATGGTGACAGGCGACATCAGTGATGGAATGAGTGTAGAAGGTGCTAGGATACACCCCGGGGAGCCAAGAGCCACAGTAGAGGAGACTGAATGGCCCACCGAGGCAGGAGGAAGACCCATGGATAAGGGGTCTCAGCAGCCAGGAAGAGAGCGTTTCAGGCAGAGTGGGGAAGAGCATGGAGAGCTGCTGACGGCTGCTGTGCGTCAGAGCTGGACATTTCTTCCAGGAAAGAGACAGAAACTGAGGGTGCAGGTGCAGGTAGAAACTCACAGGAGCAGGGTCCTGCATGGTGATGGACTGCACGAGTAGTGACAGATGAGCAGCAGCACCTTGGTGCAGAGGCTTTGCCAGGTGGGTCAGGGTGGGACTTGGGCAGCACTTTCTTCTTTCTGTTGTGAAAGCAGGAAGCAGGTGAGACACAAGGGCAGCCTGTGGGTGAGGCCAGGCGAGACAGGCTCTAAAGTGGTGAAGAGGGTGGGAGAGCACCAATTGTCCCAGTGGGCCAGGCTCTGTGGACTCTCATGATCGCTTTTGGAGGTGTGTAAGGGCAAACTATTTTCATAATGCCAAGGTGTCCCGCCTTTCAACCCTCATCCTCCCATAAGTGGACAACCGAGTTTTCCAGATGTATGATCTTTGAACACCAGGCATAACAAATATGGAAGAATTCAGCTGTCTTCTGTTAAGCCAGACATTGCACAGCTTTATTTTATTTTTTGGGTTTTTGAGACAGGGTCTCACTAGGTAGCTCAGGTTGGCCTCTATTCTCCTACCTCAGCCCCCCAGTGCTGGGATTACAGGTGTGTACCACCACACCTGGCTGCAAAGCTTTAAAACAATACCGTTGTTGTCACAAATTTCTTTTAAATTTGAGTGATTTCTTGGTGAAGTTATTCATATTAACATGTAATTAATCTACTATGTATTTTTAAATAACTATTTTAGATTTTAAAATATTAATAGCTACAACCCATATAAACAAACATGTGGTAATTTTTTTAGTGTAAAGGGGGTTTTGAAACCAAAAAGGTTGAGAACTGTTGGACTAGAGAAATGTTGCATGGCTGTCAGGCATCATAAAGGTCCCCAGAGAAAAATTGGACGGGAAATGGGAAGGAGAAAGTTGAGAGTAGCTGGTTTTGAGCCTGGCAAAATTGTGGCTCCATCGAGTGAGAGGAAAGAGGGGGTGGAGCAGGCTGGGGTGGAGATGAATTTCAGAAATGCGGATTTGGGGTGGTCAAGGGCCAGGTGAGGGACCTCCTCCAGGAACACACACACAGTGGAGAGTATAGGAAGGAGTCTGGTGGGAATGCCGGGGTTGAGAGCAAAGCCAAGAGGTGAGAGTCCCCACAGTTAGAAGGTGGAAAAGAAAAGAAATGGCGAGGGAAAGCCCAGAGACAGGCGGCACATGAGTATGACCTTCTGTCTGTCTGCGTGAGACTCTTACCTACTTGGTCCCCAGTTCTGCTAGCAGTTTATTGCCATGGAAGGTTCTGATGTACTTTATTAACTAGAAAATGACTTGTAAAGAAGCACTTAAAGGAAAATGTGTAGACACCTTTATAGCTGCTGTGACAGCTCACTGTGGCTGCCGCATAGCTGAAACCATCCTCCTTGTCTCCCACACTGGGTTTAAAGCTGTGGTTAAAACACATTTTGTTCCCTTCCAGCACATTACTTTTAGTTTTAGCAAGCTTATTTAAACTGGTTTTTGTGAACACTGCTTACTATTGACATTTCTCTTTTTTTTTTTTTCCAGTAACTTGGATCCACTTACAGAAACTGTATCCTTTTTTCAGAAACATTAAAGATTTACTAAGAGTAAAGAAAATAGAGAAACAAAAGGAAAAAGCATACATGATTACTGAAAAATTTGAAAACTTCTAGATGAGAAACAACATAAGCAACATTGAAAGCATTTACTTTTAGAATGAGAAGAGTTATGCTATAGTACCTGGCAGGCTGGTCACACAGCACTCCGCAAAGGTCAGCCAAATAGAAGCTCACCCACCTCGCCCTCTGGCCAAGCCTGCTGTGTATGGTGGGAAGCACAGCAGCTGCAGCAAGGCAGTTTATTTCCCTCTTGTGTGGAGTGGTTCAGGACAGGTGGTGGTGGCTCCATGAAGTCGCCGGTGGCCAGGTCTTTTTGCTTTAACCACCCTGCCATTACCTAGGGGTCTTGGCTTTCCTGCTCAGGTGGCTGCAGAGCAAACTTCACATCCAAGTCTGTAGCAGAGCCTGCAGAGGCAGTGACGGTGTCCTCCATATGAAAGGGGACCTCTGGGAAGCCCCACATAGCCCTTCTGGGTCTGGATGACCAGGCCTGCTGCTGCTCGCCTGCATGGTCCTGTCTGGGTTCCTGAAATGTCTCCAGCTTTAAGTTAGGACTTGGCACTAAAGTGAATAAAGCATTTGGGTAACAAGTAGCAGTCTCTCCCATACTGCCACCAGAAAAGTGGACGGAAGTGTGGAGAGTTAGGGTGTTCTTGCTTGATCTGTAATAACAGATAATCTCCACATCTTCTGTGGCTTAAAGCCCAAAACTGGATTTCTGGAGTGTGCTCCATGTTCTTTGCAGGTGAGTGGGGGCTTCTGGGAACTAATAATTTCCCAAAAGAGAGCATGGTGAAGGCTGATGAACATATTAAGAGTTCATAAGAGTTTAGTCTCTCCAGTCAAAAGACATCTAGACCAGCTAGGTGTGGTGGTACACGGCTGTGATCTCAGCACTTCTGAGAGGCTGAGGTAGGAAGATTGGAAGTTTGAGACCAGCTAGGCAACTTAGCAAGCCTGTGACTCATAAAGGTGAGGAGCTGGGGATATATCTCAGTGCCAAGGCCTGGGTTCAACTCCTAGTATGGGAGGAGGGAAATGGACAGACTAACACCAAAATAACAAGGCATATTAATATATCAGGCCATCCAGAATTTAAAAAAACAAATGGGCCAGTGTTGGTGCTGGTGACGTAAGGCGCCTTCTAAATTGCTGGTGGAAATATCAGCTGGTATGCTCTTTCTGGAAGGCACTTGGGAAGGGTAATAGTAATTCCAATTCTTGAAAACTAAAAATAACAGTGGATGCAGTTTATGTTAGAGGTTACCAAACTAAGGTCCATAGGCTGAATATATAGCCCACTGCTTGTTTTGCATTTACATTTTATTGAGGTACATTTATGCTGATTCATTTATACATTGTGTGTGGCTTTCAGGGTTTAAGTAGTTGCCACAAGACCCATGTATGTCCAAAAGCCTGGGACAGGCACTGTCTGGCTCTTTGCAGAAGTTTGCTAACCTCTGAGTTACATCATTACACAGTTATCCCAGGAGAATTAAAATTTTGGAATAACCTTACAATAGTAAGGAGATACTTAAATAAAGTAAGTTGTATTCATGAAGGACTTAAAAGGTTATTTGAGGGCTGGGGGTATAGCTCAGTGGCAGAGTGCTGGCCTCATTGTGCAGTATGTATTTGCAAATAAAGCTGTTGATCCTGGTGGTTGACCTGTATCGGGCTGGATGGCAGAAGATTGGCTGGCCTGCCCTGTTCAGGGTGGTGTTGGAAGAATCCCCAGAGTCATGATTGTCCTGCAGAGGAATGTGAGGACCTCAACACTGGGGAGCTTTTCCTGGAACTTACTCTTTTTAATGTGATTGATCGAGTCCTCTCCTGAAAGTGTACCAGAGAGCTAACACTGAGAGGGAGTAAGGAAACGGATACCTAGCAGTGAGGACAACCTGAGGTGGAAGAGTTAAACGATGAGTAAATTATTCAGGCAGTTATTTTTTATTTTTTTGGTACTGGGGATCAAACTTGGGACCTTGCGCTTGCCAGGCAGGTGGTGGAACCACTGAGCTAAATCTCCAGCCCCTAGGCAGTTATTCTTAGTACAGGACTTCTGAAGTCAGCTTTTTTTAGCATTAGAATCAGTGGAGGGGAAAACTTGATAATTGTTCAGTTACCTCTGGAAAGACTTCATTTGTGAAGTTACTTTCACAGCCTCATAGCTGAAGCCTAAGTAGGAACCAGCCATTACTTCCCAGCACAGTTACAGAAGTAAGAACATATCACTGCTTTGTGCCAAGCACTAGTGCACAGACCTTACACTCAGTACAGGGGACAGTGAACCCAAGTCTCGGGTGCCAGGAGACGCTGCACAGAGAGGATGTGCGGTATGATCGAGAGGGAGCAGACTGAAGAAGAGCTTTGGGATACTTACAACTACATGGTGCCATCTCCATCCCACATTCGAAGTGGTATGTGCAGGCAATTTTGTTTAAAATCAGTGCCAACCTAAGTATTTCACATAATGGTATGACTGTAGAAGTTGTGTGAATATAGAACTAGGTCTAAAGAAATAATATCTGGAGACTTTTTGGTTTTGTTTTTTGGTATTAGAGATTGCACCTACAGCTTGTACATGCTAGACAAGCATCCCACCACTAAGCTACATCTCCAGCCCCTTTTATTTTTGAGATAGGGGTCTGAATTGCCCAGGCTGGCCTTAAATCAAAGTCCTCCTGCCTCAGTCTCCTGAGTAGGTGGGATTTCTGGTGTGTACTGCCACGGTCAACTTAAGCTTTCCCAAGGAAACTATTTCAAAATATCCATTTAATGAACTTTTTACCATCTACTAATTTTCACACTTCTTAACAGACTATAGTATGGGATTCCTTTTTACTTACAGTACCTCGCCCACTGGCCGGAGTATTTCATCGTTGCAGAGGCCCCTGGTGGAGAGTTAATGGGCTACAGTGAGTATTCTCCCACTGTACTGTTTTGGGTAGGAAGACAATATTCTAACACAGGGCTGATTATTTTAGACTATAGAATTAAAAGTATAAGCCTGATGCCAATAAGTTTATTTCCTTTCTTAACACATAGCAGTGTACTGATGTCTTTGTCTTAGGCATTGTGGTAGACCTAGGGATGAACAGTGAGTCACAGTTGTGACCTCAGTCATCCCAATTTTTCAGTCTGTTTTTATGTTAAATTTCTGGATGGTTTATTTGGTACACCATGCGAAGATTATAGCATATCCATTGAATTAGCATTACTAGCAAAACCTTGGCCTGTGAATTATTTGTTACAGGTACAAATCCGCATGAAATGCAGACATTGGAAAAAGTACAGATTTGGGTTTTTTAGAAGTAGTTGTATTTTTAGTATGACCTCAAAAAAATCCTTTCTTAAGTCTGATCCTAGAACTGGATGTGGCCATTTCATTTGCAAGTGAATTTTCAAGTAAAAGGACTAACTCTCACTGGCTGGCCCTGAGTAATACTGAAAATTAATTGTCCTTAGCTTCCTTCATCATAGAAACATCCTGAAGAGTGGCTCTGTGTTTCTGTGTAGTCAGTGTATCTAACTATGTCATGCCTTTTTTTGCTGGCAGTCATGGGCAAAGCAGAAGGCTCTGTCGCAAGGGAGGAGTGGCATGGCCATGTTACAGCTCTGTCTGTCGCTCCTGAATTTCGGCGCCTTGGTTTGGCTGCTAAGCTCATGGAGTTACTGGAGGAGATTTCGGAGAGGTGAGATCTGCTTTTTAGCACAACCCATGATCTGCACACCCTCCCCACTCATTGCTGTCTGCTGAGCGTCTATAAGGTTCCCCTTCCGGCTGGGTGACTGTCCCAGTTTTACACTCTGGGAACTTCACCTTCAGCCTGCAGAAGACCTCACAGCTCTGTCACAGGTGTTACTGGTCCTGGTTTGCTATGAGGAAAATGAAAGTGATGCGTGTGCGCTGCTTTAGGCCCGCAGGCCAGGTAAGGTGGGTTAGGTGTGTCTGTGGCCAGCCTGTTAGTGCTTGAGCCACTGCGGCAGCCCTGGCTTCTGTCGACATCAGCCAGGGATGCAAGCAGGAGGTTCACAGTATCCGGAGGACAAGAGAAAATAGTTCAGTTTTAAGCTTACAGTTTTTATAGCCTAACGCTAGTAGCCATTTAGAAAAAACAAACACATTGAAACAAAATGTGCTTATTTCATTTTTCGTTGTGGTGACCCATTAATAAGTATGTATAAGTGTATGTATACACTTGTTGGGTATCCAATGACTTCTGGACCTTGGAAACAGCTTCCTGACCACCACCTGCCTTCTGTGTCCCACTGATACTCCTGGGGCACTCCTTTGTGTGTTTTTCAATCACACCAACTGCCAGGTACTCAGCTTCATAAAAATCTTATGTCATGAAAAAGGAATGCAGCATGATGTAATGTTGAATTTGTTATCTGCTTTAACATTTACCAATATCTGACAAGTAAGGTTTTGCTGTTTTTTTCCCTTGAACATAGGTCATATCCTGTGCCTCCTCTGAGTTGGGAGAACCTTAGTGCATAGTTTGGGAACTGCTACCATGTGACATTAAAATAAGAGACCTACTGTATCACCCTCATTATGTGATATAAGGTTATCCAGTAATTGAAAGAAGCTTTCTCCTATCTGTTTGGAAGAGACAGTGTACATCTGACCATTGTCAATCTGCCCTTTCCTTTCCCTCTCAAGTGTAAACCCTGACAGAGTCTAGGAAAGGACGGTGGAGGAGGGGGCTCCCAGGGCTTGATGTCCACATGGTGCATCAAGTAAAGGCATTTTAAACAAGTAACTGGCCACAGACACTGAGCCCCATGCAATGTGAGCCCATCAGGAGAGGAAAGGAATGGTATTAGCTGAAAAGGAAGAATTCTAAGCTTTATGATTTTCTAAAGTTCTCCCTAGAGTGAATAAAGGAGAAAATTTTTTAGGAGGATATAGCTTAAATACCTTATTAGTAACATCCTTGTTGGAAAAAGAGTACAGTGGACAGGGAGATAGAAAATGGGTTCTAACTACTATGATCTTGCACATAGGATTTAATGTATTTGTGAATTTTTTCTTTTTGAGTAGAAAACCATTGCTTCCCCCTTCCCTTCCAGATTCTAAAGCATCATCATTTTTTTTTTTTTTTGGTACTGGGGATCAAACTCGGGACCTTACACTTATGGGGCAGGCAGTGGCACTACTGAGCTAAATCCCCGGCCCTGAAGTGTCATCATTTTAAGACAGCTGCTAAGGTTTCTAAGTTATTTTACTTGTATGAATGCGTATATAAAGCATACACACACACATGCTTGTATGCATGTAAATAGTACATAATTTCCAGAGCACCCAGAAAACTGAATGATAAACATTGATAGATAGAAAAGGGAAATTAAGCTGGTAAAACAAAAAGTATGAAATAAGAGAGCTATGAATCCAGATACTATCAGTAATTACAACAGTAAATGTTAATGGACTAACAACTCCTGTTAAGATAGTCACAACCATATTGTTTGTAGGAAATATGTACAAAAATTCAAGACAAAGAAGAATTGGAAGTAAAGAAAAATTTTAAATTGTCATGCAAAGTCTAACCAAAGAACTTGGTGTACTTATAGTAATAATAGTTACACTGTATTTGAATAATTATTACCAGAGTAAAGAAGGTCCTTGCATACAGATAAAACATTTAATCCATCAAGAATTTGTAACAATTAAAAATTTTATGTACCCATTGACTTAGGTTCAAAGTAAAAAATCCAAACCTTACAAAGCTACAAGGACAACAGACCAATTGTTACCATAGTGGGAAATTTGAACACACTTCTTTCTGCTAGAACCTAACAGAAATTGGCTAAGGGTATAAAGCAAAGGTCAGCAAGCCTTTCCTGGGTCAGAGAGTAAATATTCAGGCTTTGCAGGCCACCTAAGGTCTACTGTGTACTCCTTTTGTTCCTTTTTTTAAATCTTCAAAACTGTAAAAATCACCCTTAGCTCGAAGGCAATATAAAAACAGGTTGCAAGCCTTAAAGGATTTCAGTCAGTAGCTAGATCTCTTTATGTAAAGAAACAGGTCTTCTCTAGAAAATTTCAGCGAATGTTTAGGAAATAACTACTGTAAGGTCACTGTCTTACTTTCTCATTGTTGAGACAAAATACCCAACACCCAAAGTTAAAGGAGGGGAAAGGTTTATTTGCCTCACAGTTTGTAGAGGTTTCAATCCATGATCAGCTGGCTCCAAGGCAGGGTGGCATGGCAGACAGGCCTCACAAAGGAGAAAGTTCATGGTGGGCAGAAGGTAGCAAAGCAACAAAGGGCGACCACAGCTCTTTCTGTCCCTTAAATCTTATCCAGGCTACTTAGAGCGGGGCAGCACTCACATCCTTAATCCTAGAGCCCTCGATCCTAGCATTGCACCATGGATTGGTCTTAGCATCACACACTGTAGCTCCAGCGACTTCTGAAAAAGCCCCCCCCCCCCCGACTGCATGAAACTTTGTGGGGACACAAAGCCGTAACAGTTACTTTTTATACAAGAACAAGTATGTGGGAACATTCTGCAGCTTTAAGGCTGAGGTAACCTTGATAAAACTGCCTGACAAAAGAAATATAAGAAGGGAAGATGTGAATAAATCTCAGCTGCAGAAATCCCATAAGGACTATGGCAAGACAGGCTAAGCAATGCCTAAGGAGGAGGACGCATCAGGAGCAAGGGTATTTGAATTTCAGACTGAACAGCAATTGTTAGTTCATTAACACATTCACTGCAAGGCCATAATTCGTATGCCTTTCTGTCAGGCAGCTTGAACCATGCATGACTATCCCATTGGGTGGCTTTTTACAATTTTATTAGTAAAAAAGCCAATAAACATGATTAGATCCATTTGTGCCACCAGTGTGGGTATAAGCTGCCTGGTGGGACAGTCACGTGTATACCACTGGTTCAAGTCAGTGAGAATGTGTGAAATGCAGTAAGTTTGATACAATCCAATATTTATTCTTGATAAAAACTGTTAGCAAACTAGGAAATGGAAGTAGAGAGTAACTACCCAAAAACCTGAAATATTTTACAGATAGGACTGTACAAATAGAAAGTACACAGGATTCTATAAGTAAATGTTTAGAATTATTAAAAATAACAAGTACAAAATCAATTGTATTTTAATGTACAAAAACAGTAAAATTCAGAAAAAGATGCCTGCAGTGGCATTAACAATTACATGCTTAAGAAAAGTCACAGAAGCAGAGTGTGAGGCCTCTGATGTTTAGGAAACTCGATTATTGACGGACACTAAAATAGCCTTTGTATGTGAGAGATCCCTCTGTGGATCAGAGATCTTCACAAAACTTGCAGTTGGTCTCACATGCAATGTAACTGCAATCAAAATCCTAAGTATTTTTTGTGGAACTTATTAAGCTGTTTCCAAAACATACAAAAAAGAGGCAAAATAGTCATGGGACAACAAAATTAGTGGATTTGCTCCTCCAGACAGTAGTGTGTAGTGAATGAGATTGCCTTGGTGCTGGAGTGGGCAGCTGTCTAGACCAGCAGAACACAGTATGAGAAACAAGCCCAAGGATTTACGGATTGCAGTCACCTCTGGTGGCCCTGCAGGTCTGTGATGTAGAAACAGTCTTTTCAGTGCAGGCTGTCCACACAGGAGAAATTTCCCAGGTCTCTTCACTTACCATACACAAGTCAGTTCCAGATGCATGAAAATTCTAGATGTGAAGTGCAAAACTCAGAAGCTCTGAGAATGTAATATATGAGAGTCTCACAGATCTCAGGGTAGAAAGAATTCCTTAAATAGGCCATAAAAGGTGTTGACTAAAAGGAAGACTCATCAGCTTTACCTAAATCAATTGGTCAACAAAAGATACCGTGAAGATAATGACATGCCACAAATTGGGAAAAGATACCCATTGCTGCATATCCAGAATACATAGAGAACTACAGCTGGCAAGAAAACAGAGATCACAAGTATTGCACAGAGGAGAAGTTTGAATGGTCAGTTAACAAAAATATGCAGCCTCATTGGTCAGAAATGCAAGGCAGGCACAGACATGTAATCCCAGTGCACTGAGAGGCTGAGGCAAGAGGACTGCAATTTTGAGTTCAGCAGGCACAAGTTAAGAGACTTAGTAAGACCCCGTTTCAAAGTAAGGAAATGGGCTGGGGAAATAGCTCACTTTGAAGTCCCTGGATTCAATCCATAGTACTTGAAAAAAAAAAAAAAAGGAAATTAAAATCACACTGAGATGCCATTATACCACCAGATTGGCAAGAACAAACATGTCTGGTACACTCAGCCCTTGCTACTGCAAGAGTGGAGACTCAGCCACCATGTGGGATGTAGGTTGATAGAAGAGGTTGGAAGACTAGTCGGCATCCTCTGCTGAGGCTAAAGGTGTGTGTGGCCCTGTCACAGCAGTGGCCCCCCAGCCATAGACCTTAGATGAGATGCTAACACAAGTGTCCGTGGCAGCATGGTTCGCGGTAGGAAAAACTGGAAAGGTTTATCAGTGGAACTGTGGGCCACTCAGGTACAAGGGGTAATCAAAAACACAGCAAATGTTAAATCTAAAAATTACAGTAAAAGACACAGTGCCATTAATCTCCCTCAAAATATTCCCCCTCACTTCAAACATTTACCCCATTTTGCCACTCTGAAGCAGCCCTACGAGTCTTTTTGTCTTTATGAGAAGTGATCAAAAATGTGGTGAGTGCTGGGGCTGAGTGCCATCTAATGGAAAAGCAGGCTTTAAAAACATGACACTGTCCTCATTCACCAGATCTGGCAGCATGCAACTTCTGGCTCTTCCCCAAAGTCAAAATGACCATGAAAAGGAAACATTTTAAACTAATTTGGGACATAGAGGCAGCCAGGACAGCACAACTAAAGACATTCAGGAAAGAGGACTTCCAGAATGACTTCAGAAAGTGGCAAGAACAATAAGTGTTTGAAGCAGTGGGGGGGGGGGGGCACTGAAGAGGAATCATGGAAGTAATTTTTTAAAAAAATTTAAACACATGCTGTATTTTTTGTCTGTTTGTATGATGGAATATGAATAAGCTCCAGCCACTCAGGAGGCTGACTCAGTACTGACTTCAAGAAACAAATGACAGAGGAATACATAAAGTCCAATTCTGTTAGTTCATAAGCAGGAGAATCCCAACTGTAAGATGTGGAGAATCCACAGCAGGAAGCAAGGAGGTAGCAGTCTCCAGAGTCAGATGTGGAGTCCTCCGGGTGAGCAAGCAGATGACATCAACCAGAGACCTGGGGCCCTGGGTCAGGACCAGCATCTGGTACCTGCATCTGGGTTAAGGCTGCACAGTTTTCAGAGCTCTCCCATCTATACTATGACTCATTCATAAAATGAGCATGACAATTACTTTGACATAAAAGAGTCATTTAAAAAACCAGCTAGTGGAATTGTAAAAAATGTTTTGGTGGTTCATCTTTAAGAAAACGTATTACAGCTTTTGAAAAATGCATAAAAAACTTTTTTTTAATCACAAAATAATTGTCATAAATCCTAAACAATAAAAGTTGCTATTATGATGTAGTCAGCAGCAAGACCCTGTGCTACCATTCAAAGCAAAAGAAAAAACAGGTGTTTTTATAAAAGTAAGTAGCTATCACTTCCTTTGGCTCGGACGTTCTCCCATGTCTTCTCTTTAAAGAAAAGGCGGATTTTTCGTTGATCTCTTCGTCAGAGTGTCTAACCAGGTTGCAGTCAACATGTATAAGCAGCTGGGCTATAGCGTGTACCGGACAGTCATAGAGTACTACTCGGCCAGCAATGGGGAGCCAGATGAGGATGCCTACGGTAAGCACCACCTGCAGCTGACTTAAGTTAAAACACATTTCCCTTAGAATCGGGTGGAAGTTGGGATAAAACCTTTTGGGGGACTTTTCCTATACATTTTAAATTTGACACAGAATGTTCTGCTGTTTGGATGCTTACCTTAAACCCTGGTTTGTAACAGATATGAGAAAAGCACTTTCCAGGGACACGGAGAAGAAATCCATCATCCCGTTACCCCATCCGGTGAGGCCTGAAGACATTGAATAACCTTGGGCAGTGGTTCTTAGGCAGATAGATGTCCTGGGTAGTTTATGTACGTTATTATTTTCATTGGATGATCTTGGAGCTCTTAGATTAGGAGAAAAGTAATCATTTTAGGTCTTAAAAACTTCAAGAAAATACAGGTTATAAAGTTTATTTTAAATCTTGTTTCCAGTTGTCAGTATCACATCTATTAAAACTGTTTGCCATAATGAAATTCAGTCAAGGCCAGTAGGTCACTAGGACAGTTCCACTGTCATCATTCAAAATGTCCCCTGTGTGCCAGGGAAAAGACTTGCTCCAACCACCGCCTAAATTCTGTGCCTGAGAGCCACTGCTGCATATACAGATTTATATTTTTATTCTGTTTTGAACTGTCAATTGACACTTTAAAAGCATATATGAAATGTATAAATCTAAGATGTCTAATAAAAGATATTGCTGACTGAGTGTCTTCTGGACATTTGTTGGTCATTTGCACAACTAAATCAGGACTATTAAGGGTCATCATTTAGGATGTGTAGTTTCTCAGTTTCTATACAGAATATTTTTTAAGTGCACATCTGAAATAATCCCTGCCCAGCACATTTAAACTTACTACATATAAATTCTTGCCAGTTGTTTTCATACTGTTAGTCCTGAATTGTTTTTTCTTCTCATGGTAGTTTGCTTAAACCCTGCCTTTCTTAAACAAAAAACCTTGAGTTTTTTTGTTTTTGTTTTAAAAGAGGACAAAGAACTCATTCTTAAAGGCAAGCCATGTACAAGTTACATAGGCTAATCATGTATTTTCACACCTGTAGTAAAGTATCCTGTAACAAGAGAAATGTGCACCTGGAATGGTTCACATCTTTTACTTTAGAAAGGACTTGTTTTGGCAGAGTTAGGGATGGGAGAGAAATGAATTCTTTATGTTCACAATGGCACACACTTGTCCTGACTTTGAGAATGTGGGTGGTCACTGATCTTCCTCTTCCATAGCCATGCAGCATACACAGATAATGCTAGGATGACCGGGATTTAGTGACTGTTTCCACCCCTTACCTCTGCATACTTAGCAAAAGATATTAAATCAGATTGTCCTCGCTGACCACAGACTCAGTATTCAGATCCATTGACACCCCAAGCCTGAATCCAGGCCAGTAACTAAAGCAGAGAGGCCAAAACGATTTGTTATCTGAAGAGTCCTATTTTCTTCTGTCCTCAAACACTATCTTATTTTCAAGACAATTTACGTTTTACTCCCTTGGATGAAGATACCTGCATATTTAATAATACCTTTTCTCACTAATGGTGCTTAGAAGCAAAAAATACAGGGCAGGTTAAAGAAAATTTCAGATGAGTTTTTCTGCTGGAGAACGTGAGCATGAGACTAGCGAGTATGTTAGCACTCTCACCTACATTAAGCTCTACTGTTCAGCATAGAGTCACCTGAGGTGTTTGTCCACATGGTCTAAGCCAAGGGCAAGCTTAGTGTGGCAGGCAGGGCTCATGAGCAGACAGCCCGGCACTGTGGCACACTGGGAGATGGGACTGGGGTTCTGGGTAGAAACAACTGCACTCTATGAAGTGTGCCAAACAGTCCATTGGGCAGCATCCCTATGTGTACAGAAGCAGGTCAAAGGCTCCAAGAAGCCCAGTTATAAGGAGACTCAATTAACACGGTATAAACTTAAATCTAGGAGTTCCCCCAAAAAATCAGTTTATAGCACATGTATAAAGTTTAAACAAGCTGTTGTTCTTTAAGCAAGCTATTACAAAGCCCAACCAGCTTAGGGAACTGATGATAGTAAAACTGAAACTGGAAAATGTTCTTGGTAAAAAAATAAAAACCTTTTTCAGAAGTATAGTTACTGCAAGTCACTTTCCAACTAGTGTTTTACTTTATTTTTTAAATTTTTATTTATTTTTTATTTTTGGTACCCGGGATTGAACTAGGGACCTTGCACTTGCAAGGCAGGTGGTGACACCACTAAGCTAAATCCCCAGCCCTCCAAGGAGTGTTTTAAAAAGCCCTTAGCATAAGTGATGCTATAAAAGGTAAGGATATTTACATGTTAAAAATCAACCTAAGCACATTCAGTTCTACAAAAAATGAACATACTTAGAAAATGGCTGGGAACAATGAGCATTTGCGATGCACCTAATCTTCAAAACATGCTGTCACAGTACTAGCTCGTTTTCTGAGGAAATGGAAAGGAAAGGGAAGGGAAGGGAAGGATAAAGGAAGGGAAGGCAAGGCAAGGCAGGATATACCATCACTACGTGTAGTGTTGGGAAATGAACTCCAGTCTGTGTGACTTTGAAGGCAGTAAATTTAGAGGTTTCAGATGAATGCATAATACCTTTAAGAAGCAGATAAGCAAGAGAAAACTACACCTGAAAAATTAAGAGTGTAACCTGAAAACTTTCTTTAAAAAAGACTGGGAAGTCTGCAGGCCCATCTTTAATAGATGGAGACTACATTTCCTAAAGCAGGATGTGGGAAGAGATACAGAATCACAGAATTCCGGCAGTCCCCCTAAGTGAGCCCAAGAGCATTTTAAAAATAATTCAAAAGTGCCAGAGAGTCAAACAATTCTTACTAGTAAATATAAAAACTTCCAGGAGTCATAAGTACTGCAAACTATTAATTTATGAAAATAAAACATTCATGGATATAAAAAAGATCAAGATTCACTCTCATTGATGTCCTTATCTGGATCCTGCTCAGCAGCCTCCTTTTCCTGCTGCTGTTTCTTCCAGAGTTTGGCCATGGCCAGCAGCTTGAGGTTGGGCTGGTTGGCAGCATCCTCAGGAAAGATGTAATCATAGTATTCTTCCCAGCCTGCGTCAGACTGCAGAGACAAAATGAAGGTAAGCAAACAATGGGCTCAAACACTCAGGTTTCAGAGTTCTGATTCAACTTGTCCTCATTTTACAAAACAAGAAAACCTCCTACTGAAGACCTCCCAACAAAGTTGGGCCTGAAAGACTAGGAGTGGCTGTAACTGGTGCTCACTGGGAGGGAAATGAAAACCGGTGAAAGCTAAGCACGGCTCCTTCATAGTCAACCAAGACAGTATCTCCAGTGCCATCTTGCAGTCTTATGTTTAACAGCTGAAAACTTCAAAGCTTTTTTTGTACCAGAGATCAAACTCGGGACCTTGTGCTTGCGAGGCAGGCACTGGAACCACTGAGCTAAATCCCCACCCCCAGAAAGTTTAAAGCTTTTTGTGGAGCATTTATTCAAGACCAGACCCTTAAATCTATGCATTATTGTCTTGATCTGCACTCATATCCTCACTTCCAAAAGTCTACCATTTGACTACCAATGTGACTTCCCAACACTCCCCTAATTGCCCTCACACACCAGTGCTCGCTTTGCATACAGAAACAGCCTTAGATAAGTTTTCTTCCAAGCCCAGTCCCTCTCATCCGCCTGTGTAAGCTGCTGTCATTTCATGTGAGAAAGCCTGTGATGATTTCCATCATCCTCCCTCCTGTTGCCTACAAAGCCACCTGTGCATTGGCTCCTGTCTGAGGGCAGAGTCTCATTTCCTACCACACTGACTTCCTGTTACTGCTATAGAAAAGGTACGAACTGCATGCCCCCTGCCCTCCAAGCATCACCAAGAAGCCTTTACCAACCCTTCCTGGCCATTCTGACTGTGTCCTCTGGTTATCTGCTTGAATCCTAAGGCTACAGAAGCCACTGGAAAGCACAGCTGTCAAAGTCAGAAGCCTTGAACTCCAAGGCTCAGCTCTTACCCCATCATCCGCCTGAACTTTTCGTCTCTTTTTGACTTTCTCTGGCATTAGTTTGTCCACTCTCTCTTTATCTGATGCGGTTCCAAATTCATCTTCAAAGCTTCGCCAGGATTCCAGCAGCATAAGCCTCTCTTCCTTTTCTTCACAGTTCCGCATGGTTTTGTTAGCTTCTTCATAGATTTGTCTGCATTTGGTGATGCTTCCTTCTTTCCCGGAAGACAATTCAAACTGAGCAAAACTGATCCATACCTTAGCAAAAATTATTATGGAAACAAATTAACCACAATGATATAACAATGATAATAATTTCTAGTTCATGACATCTAAAGAGAATATGTTGGTTTCTAGTTTTCCACAGAATGTAACACATTAAATAACGCTTCATTACTGAGTATTGAAACAATCTGCTTTTATATGCAGTTAGGTGCCTGTCAGCCTCAAGATCCTGGAAAGAATTTATCTTTTCTATCCTGTGACATCCAGGATATTCACACATAGTATAAGCAATGACCTAGGAAAGCATGACATCCCCAAGTCCTCCAAGACTTACTAATTCTTTTCAAAAGCAAGAAAAGTCATTTAAAATAAATTTTCTAGACACTTAAAATTCAGAAATACAGTATTTTTTTCAGTACTGCTGAGGAAGCAAAATCAAAGACTATCTACAAAGCATGGAATACCTTGACATGTTGTGTCCGCTGAAGCAGCTGTCGGTAAAGATTTCGTGTTCTTTCAGTTTCTTCCTGCTCAATTTCAAAATCAATGTATGATTTCCAAAGCACCTAAGAAAGATAACAGGTCAGCCCTACGATTGAGAAGGCAACATGTCCCATCTAAAACACAGCTTAACTACTATCTACATCCAGGGGAGTGAGGCTTATACTGAACAACAGCCTGCCAAAAACATGGCTAGAATTCTAGGAATAGGGAAGAGGGTCTTGGATTCAGTTTTAGGTTCTTTTGGAGTTTTTCAAATGTTCTACTCAGCCATATCTTTTTTTTTTTTTTGGTACCTGGGATCAAACTCAGGTCCTTGTGCTTGCAAGACAGGCGGCGGAACCACTGAGCCAAATCCCTGGCCCTTCAAATGTTCAACTCAAAAAAAAAAAGCTGAGAAATGTGACTCTCCCAGGTACATTCATGATCCTGCCATACACAATTAACTTCCAAGAACTAGGCTCAGATTAGCCAGTATGTATGTTCTTACCCCCCCCCCCAGAAAATTTCTTGCTATTTGAGTTCAACTCAACAAGTGTTCACTGAACAGCAGCCTACCTCCAAGGTGCAGCCTCTTGGGGCACAAGGCTGAACGTGCTATGATCTGGACACCTGGTAGTGGGCTGTCTTGGGGACAGCTGAGGCCCATAGCTGGGGCCAACAGTACACGAAGCCCTGACTTGCTGTGGTCGGGGGCCTGAGCCATTCAATGCGAAGTCACAGTGTAAGATGCTAAGGCTGCGTGGGTTCTGGTTGCCTGTGAGATCAAAGTAGGTCCTAGCTGTGGTCTGGCGCCACCGTGTGGCTCAAGCCAAACCTCTGCTGGGTTAGGACTCCAGGACCCAGTAACAGTGATTCCAAGATCACCATGGCTTAGCCAAGCCTCTTGTGGGCCCAATCCTGGCAAAACTGTATGAGAAGAGAGGGGTGTGCAGTCCTCACCTCAACTCCCTGTTCTTCAGATGGGGTTGCTGTGCCA